GCCACAGTGCCTTCTCCATCCCTCTTCCCCTCAGGGTTCTGAGCAGACACACAAGCAAGCATGTTTTTAAAGCCTCCAGGGCCAGGACCCAAACCCTGGCTGGTGTGTGGGATCTGGCTTGCCCAGTGCTCAAGCACTCTCCTCTCAGGGTACACTGAACGGGTAGGAGAGGCTGTGCTCTAATGAAACTGTTTTAATAATAGGGATGTGGACAACGGGTTCCTAGGTGTCAGTCCAGATCCGAGGTTTCCACAGTCACCTAGCCTAAAGCAACAGATATGGCTTTATTTTTTTTTTACCTGATTTATTTTTCTTTTTAAAAATATATAATTTTTTTTCAGCTCTTGAAGTTAATATTTTGGGTTGCCTCTTCCATTGGGCCATTAGAGAAAGCAGTACACCTTGGTGAAATGCCACAGAGACTATAAGTCAAAATCACAGAATTGATTTTAGTCAGGGCAGCAATATCACGCCTTGGACATTACAGAATTTTCTTTTATGTCTGAAACTTGGCCAAATGTACTCTAATAAGGTAGACCATTTATTTTGTTCTATATTGTTTACTCCTTTTCTGCTGAAATGAAATCATATTGTGGGTTAGATGTATGTTGGACAGAACATCAAATCAAGTAAACAGACGGAAGAGCCTCGATTTCTGAGACCTGGGAAGCATGCTAAGCTTCGGTAAATAACCCGAATAATAACAAAGGGATTTTAATACTCTGCATGATGAGGAAGTATTTTGAAGCACCCATGGATCTAATAAATATGCTTAGAGTAAATCCAATGGGCAAAAGTGTTTAAGCCACTGTTATGAAGTAAAATCATAAGGAGGAACTCTGCAGATATGGCTTTACTTTTTTTTTTTCTTTTCTTTTTTTTTTTTTTTTTTTTTTTGAGAGGTTTTTGCTATAGGGCGCATGCGCTCGCCAGAAAGACAGAGAGAGACAGAGAGACAGAAAGCAAGACATCACCTCCCCAGGGGGGATGGCCATGTCACAATCCCTTCTCCTCCATTCTCCTCTCACGATCTTGGGCACGCATGCACATGCACCCGGCGTGAGTTTAAGCCACTGGGTCTGGGATTTGAACCAGGGTCAACTACATGGGAGTCCAGAGACATAGCCATTATGCTAACTACTGGTCCCTCATCCTTCTCCCTCAAGGGACTTAAGTACTGAGAGCATTCGGCCTGACACCAGGAGGAGGGAGAACTCAGGCGTCCGGATTGTTCTGCCACACGATATGCACACTCGTGTGTGTCCAGAGAATCAGCGGCTGCGTGTCAGGTGAGTAGGACCTAGAATAACACTATGACCTCTAGCTCATATGCTTCCACTAACTATCAATGTTAACGTATGTTTACACTCTGACACGATGCATCAGTGTGGTAGCATCATTTCCACAGGACCAGCTCAAGTCAGAGACAGCGAAACTGCTCTTCAGCGAGCATCGGAGCACACTGGTAGCCAAGCCAGCCTCCGTGACCTGCAGCTGGATTAGAGCAATAAGAGGAATAAACCGAACTTGAAACAAAGGCGTCCACCAACCTTCCCGGAGGCCTGACCTGCAATCACACGTGGTCTGCGGAGGCAGCGCACGGAACGGGAACCTCTTCTACCACCATGCTCCCACTGTGTCCATGTGACCGTGAACAGTGAAGGCAGCATCTCACGTTAGCTGGAAAGCACCTTAGGGGACCAGCAGATGGCATAATGGTCGCGTCACTGGACCCCGTGTAGTTGACTGCGGTTCGAGTCCCAGACCTGGCAGCTTAAAACTCACACCCAAGATGCTGAGAGGATACTGCAGCATGACCATGTCCCCTGGGGGTGGGGTCTTCTCACTTTCTGTCTCTGTTTCTGTCTTTCTAGAGAGCACACATGCCCTATAGCAAAAATCTCTTAAAAAGAAAAGAAAAGCACCCCACAGGGGACCAGCAGTTAGTGTAATGGCTATGTCGCAGGACTCCGATATAGTCGATTGTGGTTCAGGTCCCGGACCCGGTGCTTAAACTCACGCCAGGCACGTGTGCGTGCATGCCCAAGATCCCAAGAGGAGAACGGAGGAGAAAGGATTGCGGCATAGCCATTCCCACCGGGGGGTGATTTCTCACTTTCTGTCTATCTCTCTCTGTCTTTCTGTCGAGCGCACACGCCGTATAGCAAAAATGTCTCAAAAAAAAAAAAAAAAA